ATATATTTATATATATATATATATATATATGTATATAATAAAACTTGCCTCGTACGGAGAATATGAATAGATATCAGATATTGCGGGGTACGTATTAGCATAGCATTCTGCATCCGGGTATAAACCAATATATGCAAAGGGCGTGAGGTAACAACACGCTTATACTCATCTCTGTTTACACGAAGGCTCCGCGATTGAATGGGGTAAACTGATTCTCCTGGAGACAGTCCCCTGAAATCACTTATGATCGCAAATACAATCACATTGTACGCATGGAACAGATCTAGAGGCGCTAACAATATCGCCTATAGCATGTACAACTACATTATAATCAAGATACGTATAGCTAAGAGAACAACATAACTTGCTAATAAATAAACTGCTAAACATCAGCTTTAATCTCTTATTAATTTGCCCTTGGTACGATGTAATTCACAAACATATACACAATCATCGCTCACACTGTACTGAAATGATGCAAAGATATCGACTAACGTGGTTATTATACCTTATATTGTATATACTTAAATAGGGGGGAAGGATTTTCGCCCAATATACATAATCAAGATTACATAGACTATATTTACATATTTATTATACTGCATTCATATATAGTTTATGGTATATAGTCAGGAGTATATCAATTGAGGATTGCCTATCAGGAGTCTATCTATTGAGCTAGATATATTGTACGTGCAGAGCCTTTCTATGCATGCCCCCCCCCGCCCATTCTGCCCTGCCATGACACCCACGAGCCGTGAGAAGTATAATGCACGGCCGAAATGCAGCAAACGCTTGGGTGTGTATTTTACAAGTCAGGTTCGTATGCCGTATAACCTTGATGTGTTCTTATCGGGCATGGAATACACGATGATCATCCACGTTCGTAAACCTGACAGGCAAACAGATCCGTGTTGGCAAGGTGCGCATGTGCACCTCTCATCGGCACATCGAAACTCACTCATCATAATTTTAGAGCGAGGGAGGAGAAATGACGGTCGAAATTCACAGTTCTCACGATTTGTTCTCACGTGTTGATTCTCTCGACGCATATTTCCGTCCGGCGTGACGAGCATGCCGACGTCATCATCGTTAGCATTGTAGTTATCATCATCATCGTCGTCATGTGGCAGCAGCAATAGCATCATCACCGAGACAGAGAGAAAGAAAGAGGGAGTGAGAGAGAAGAGACGGAGAAGAAGAGGTACCGAAGGCTAGATATATAGAGAGAACGAAAGAGAGAGAGAGAGAGAGAGAGAGAGAGCGCGCGCACGCACAAACGAGCGACAGAGACAGACAGACAGACAGACTGACGGACTAACTGAATGACTGGAAGACAAGCAGACAGAGAGAGAGACATGTATAGAAAAATAGAGAGCGAAACAGAGCGAGAGGGACACAGTGAGAAAGAGAAAGAGTGAGAGAGAGACCGAAAGAGAGAGAGAGAGAGAAGAGCGAAACATGCAGAAAGCTACGTCCGTTTCAATCGCGCTGCTTGACATCAATGGTTTGACATCAATGAGAAGCAGTGGCTTTGCAGCCGGTGTCTTCTCGCTCGCTCTCCTGCTGAGCCACGGACAATCCGCTGTACGTTCTACTACTAGTTTGCTAGCATTACGGCGCGCAGCCATCTGTAGACATCGCCGGTGTTACCTGCCCGCCGTGCGTGGAACGTACACTCCCTGCGTAGCTCTGCCGTCGTCTACTGTAACGGGGTCAAGGCGGCATGAGATTGCTACATAGCGATGAACAACCAATTCCGCTATTTCTCGCAGCTACCGAGGCATGTATTCTCTCTGAGCGAGGAAAAGGAGTTGCGCCGACAAATGCCGAGGGTGTGTATAGGTAGTGGAGCAGATAAAAACGAGCGGGGATATGTAAAGGAAGAATAAGTACGGTTGAGATGTAGTGAGGTAGATAAAGATGGCGCTGACACGTGTGAAAGGAGGCAAATAACCCCAAGAAGTAACGCAGATCCAAACGGAAGGAAGGAGACGAGCGAAGTTAAATGATAGCAGTGAAACGAAGAAGAAGAAAGAAAGTAGAACGAAAAAGAAAGCAGATAAAAACGACAAGAAAGATAGGAGACAATGTGAAGGAGAAGGGTGGAGTCAAGCAGGAAGATAGACAAATGAGACGATAAAGAAAATACGAGAGAAAGCGGTTATATTTCAGCGCGCATATTTTTCATCCTGCATATTTCAGCAGAACTTATCCGCGTTAGACCAAGGTTGAAAATTCCGGCTCCTCTCTCATAGCACGGGCTAAAGAGACTATAGAAACCCTCACTCATTGCCCCCTATAGTTACATTTCAACCTACAATCTAGTATATAGGACTTACCCTCTAATTCGGGGTTCGTTTAGCCAGTCAATTTTATACACGTGGTGGCTGCATAACAATGGTAGGCATAACAATGACGCCCGTAACCCTAACAAGAGCTGGGGATGGTTTGGCCTGTGGTTTGGCCTTACTACTGGACCGGTAAAATTTAATGGGTGGCCGCAAACCAAGACACGGTTCAATGAATAATCCCAATCGTCGAAGTAGGCGCGTTAACGTTCTGCCATTTCCAAACTATAATTAGTATCACGATGGACACACACACACGTGTACGCACGCACGCACGCACACACACACACACACACATATATAGTCTAGATAAATTCATGGTGTCACGTAGATATGATCTTGAAAAACGTTGCATATTATTCTACTCACAACCCGCAGCATCACTTGTAGAAGAAAGAAAAGGAACTAAAAGCGCTGCTACAACGCGAGAGAGATGCTGGAAAGATTTACAGTTTACTTTCAAGCACAGCCTTCTAACGGGCTAACGGCGGGCTGCGGACCCTAACGCACACAGAGAGATAGATTCTCGCTACAGGCGCTGTGCGCAGCGGAGCACTCGGCGTAGAGAGAGTTGCCGACGCCTGCAACGACTGCTTACACAAGCGACAGCAACAGCATGCAGGCATTTGTGAAGAGGGAGTGACCACGCGCGTTCCTGAATACGCGCAGCGAGTTTTTGAAAATGGCTCGAGCGCGAATTACTTGGGGTTGCGCCGAATACAATGGCTACTTTAGCAACAAGCAGCCGGCGAGCAGTAAGCCGCATGTAGAAGGGCGTAGAAAACTAGTATGCTTCCCACGCACCTTCTATTTGGGAGGTATCCGAACGCACCCCGAACGTTGCAGTCTTGATGCAGGCAGCAATGGTTCTCACACGCGTCAGCGTATAGAATATTCGAGTTCGGCTGCGTCGGACGCGTCGCTTAGCCTAGCGGGGGAAGCTGACTACGGGGACAGAGTTACAATTACCTCCGCAACGTTACACAACGAGAAAACTTCTGAGAATTTCACCGAGAGACACACGCATGAATTACGATCCTTTACGTGCCCGACTACACAAACAGCCTGCGATCCGCACCTTCTATGAAGATGATTTAAGTGTCCGCCCCGCAGGTGACTTATTGTCTGGTCACGACTGGATGTCAATCGCATGCTAAATGTACCATCGCAAATAGGTCAGAAATCAATGGCATGCAACGTTAGTTAGCTAGCATCAGTCACAGACAGATTGACTTCGCCGTTACGACACAATGACAGGGTTTGCCTAATTCGCGGTATTACTGAGCGCGTGTGTCACCACTATACACTCCTCTATGGGAGATAAATAACCCGACGCTCAACATCACTTATTGCATATTCAATAAAGTCGTGCATCTATCGTGCATGGGTTATAAGAGAGACTGTGAGAATGAAGCACACATAATGTACAAGTAAGCGTAAAGACTACGTAACTCGTAATTGTACGTATCTGGTGAAAAAATGTCAAGAAAACTCAACTATTTTGTAACTAGTTATATACCATACTAGAGTATTACTCCCATAAACGCAATTCTGATAAGAATTAAAATACGTTGTAATGCTCTTCGCTGCAATATAAGATTACTTTACATTAAACCCACGTTAAATACGTAATGTACGCAACGTACGTAACGTAGGTGACTTAGTAACGTACGTAAAATACGTACCGTACACAAGTAAATGTTTTTAAAGCAGACCGATTTCATTGATCGTTGCGCATACATACATTTACATTCAATCACCTTGCAGAAGTGAGAGCAACCGCAATACACTTTCACCCATCTCTGCGCTGCCACTGATCGAACCTGTTTACTGCCATGCATAAACATTACTCGAATACTAACTTGATACTCAGCAGGTGGCGCCAAGAAGATTCAATTCTGTCAACTTGAATTCCGAGGTATTATAAATTCTTAGTACGAATAATTTCTGCCGGTCGAGGATTGATTCGCACGCGACGCTGGTGTGACTACGACGCTGATATGACTATGACGCTGATATGACTATGATGCTGATATGACAATGACGCTGATATGACAATGACACTGATATGACTATGACGCTGATGTGACTATTACGCTGATATGACTGTGACGCTGATATATGACTATGACGCTGATATGACTGTGAGTGTGACGCTTATATATGACTATGACGCTGATATGACTATGAGTGGTGCACGTTGGAAGGAAACGAGGCTATGTGCACGCGTGTACACGCGATGATTCCTGTACATGTCGCTCGCGTCGTCATGCACGCGCGTCATTAGATGACAGTGCTAGAACTCACTCGGCGACATTAGCGTTACGCAGAACTGCAGCACCAAATAATCACTAATGGCGAATGTATCTAGGGGACTAGATCACCCAGACATGTTGCCGTGGGTCAGTTTGCGTTCCGGGCTCACACGCACGCCATTTGCAGCCACTAATGCAAGCGCCTGAATAATTATGTGAGGTCATTACAAGACGCGCCTACGTGATTGTCAAGAGTAACTAAAATTGTACATCCGCGTTTAGAAAAAATGTCGTGCTTATTAAAGCAGATTTATGCAACGAACAAAATAACCCAACTGTTGTTGAGCACATATTATTCTAACAGAAGTAAAGTAACAGTAACGGACAAGCGTACCTGTGAGATTACAACGTGAATATTCGCGTGTCCTGGTCCAACTTATCAGGTAAGATCTATAGATTGGTATGACCAACAGTCACACAAGATGTACATCACAGGTCACTGGTGTATACTGTACACGCACCTACATGCATGTGTGATGTGTCAGGAATGTGTTCGGCTCAATGACATTGACATATCCCCAATTGCAACATCAACCATATATGCATGCAATAACAACGCGTACACCACGTCAAAATAGTGTTTTATATACGTGGTTCAGACATGCAAGGCGGGGAAACACGAGGGGTAATTTTGCTAATTAAAAGCGATACCAACAACGAGTATCACACAATATGCGCCCGTACAAGAGCCACATTAAACATCGACAAAGAGGCAATTTCTTCCATGCACTACCTACACAAACGTCTCTTCCTACGATAAAAACATACTCATACATTTAAATCATGAGCATAAAATACAAATAAAGTACCGGTAGTCTACAAAGTACTATATCTACACTTCGGTACTAGAGTATGCATGTGTTCATTCGTGCTCACAGGACTACGCCTACAAATGGCTACAAAACTACGCCGACTCACCTTTCTTGGAACAGGTCAGAAATCCCCGCGGTGGTTTTCAGCTATCGCATCTGAAATAGTGGTACATGCTGGCAAGTCTCCTTCTGATACTGCTATACAGTGTGCACGAAAATTCCACAAAGGGCGGAGCGCTCTCTGCAAACGAAATGGCCACAATCCACTTAGCCGAGGCCTCAAGACAAGCAATCCGATCTCACGCACAGGTGTGGCCCCAATAAAAGCGTGCAGTAGGAGCTACTGCCACGATAACACTGTTTAAAGTCCTGTATCACTATCAGACTATCTGTTCGAGGTTCCTTTAAATTCCGCGCAACGAGACAAGATGGTGAATCCGGGGGTATTAAACTTGTAAAAGTAATATCAGAAGCGAAAATATTCCGGTCTACGCAACAAACAGTTCGTTCGGTGTGAAGGAATGCCGTAGATGTGTTACCGACTTGAGTAAGTAATCACCTGTGTGGGACAGCGTTCAGGTGCGTGGCGTAAAACCGGGCGAGGCGCTAAAGGGAAGTTGGAAATCTAAACGTATACTGACGAATAAGCGTGCAATGCACGCAGACGTGCGCGTGCCTATATAGACACGTTTGATATGAAACCACCTATATACCGCTAGAACAACCCTAACAACACAAGAAAAAGAACATGATAAACTGGTTACATAACTACCTGTACATATTTCACAGTCAGTAGACTAAAAACTACTAAAGAAAGAAAACATAAACATTTAGGATGCACGTACTCTTCGTTTTATCAATTAATTTTACAGGTACGATCACGTGGGATGAGATTTATGTACCAAAAAGCACATGTAATATGAATGAGAATGCGAAAATATTGAATGTTTGACATTATTTAGCAACAAAACCACTAGATCTAGCAAGTCTAGCTAGCTATAGACACGTTTGATATGAAACCACCTATATACCGCTCTCGATTAATATCCTCACAGAAGAGGTTTTCACATCTATCTACTTCATCACACTATCGTTATAATCTTCGAAAATAAATAATAATAACATGAAGCTATATATCATACGTAATTATACATGTTGCGATCATTATCTGCATACGTAGTGGATTAGCTAACATAACACGGCCCGCAGATAGGCTAGATCTAAGAGTAAGATAATAACCTATGGGTTATTATCTTACTCTTGCTAGATCCTATATGATACAGGGGTGGGGCAACCGGGGCAGGGCAGAGGGCTCCGCGGCCCCGCCCCGCCGCGGAGGCTTATAGCTCCGTATCCTTTGTAGAAGAAAAACTTTGGTAATTAATTTGATACAAATGATATAATTATGTGTTATAGTCTCTACATATGTTATATAGGTCAATGGTACAGTCCTAAATATATCAATAAATATAGATATAGCTATTATTTCCTGCTAAACGCACCCGCAATGCCATTTCTAACCATTCATATTTGAAGAAAATCCGGATATAAGATTATATGAAGATTCGAATCATTTCCCCCATAGTTTTAGTTAGGTTTGGCCTGTTACTTGCAATGCAACTAGCTTCATCACCCACCCCAGGCGGGGACCGTGCGCCAGTTCAGTGCCAATACGCTCAACTAGTGAACTACAAGGAATCGATCCGTATGATAAATATTATTCTGGCCCGAAAACTTGTAAATCTAAGTACGTATTGCAACGCGACTGTTAACGTATAGTGTGAATTCATACGATAATAATAATAATTATAATAATATTGCTTACAGGTACAGCGATCCAATATGGCCCATCGCGAGACCTGAAATGCATTGTCGGAAACTATAATAACGGCAGCGACTACGCATGGTTATTATGTCCAAAAGCAGAAAAGAGAATGGTAATTATTAGCTTACTGATTTAACTGATTCGCCATTTTTATTTCCAATTTTGTATCGTTAAAATGTTATGCAATGCAACAAGTAGCTTCGATTGGCTTCCCAATGAACCTTCGCGCTACCCATTTTGTATAGTTACGTACCTGCCCGGAAGGTAGCGCCACTCCCCAAACGGGATCTAGTCGCGCATTAAATAGCTGAGAACAATATATACATTGTATATATTGTTCTCAGTTAAATAGTACTATCAGATGGAAATGTGTAGACAAAATGAACACTAAATTTGTGAAACAATAAAAAAAATCGAAGTTTTAACTGCTCAGAAATGACTGTTTCGGACCTTTTCATTTGTTTTCAGGTTTTCTTAGGGATTTGTAGGGATGGGCACATGGCTCAGACCGTGCACGGTGCAGGCGCCCCACCCCACTCGCGAAAATAACTGTGCCGTGCGAGATGACCACTGATCTCTACTATACTAACGTAATAAACTAACTACTATAGTTAGTATAGTAGCGATCAGTGGAGATGACACTGCATGTGCTGCCTGTCCATGAAATGACGAGTTTTATGGTCACGTTACCCCCTGGCCCACTCATGAGCCCGCGCTCATAAAAAAGTGTGCCGTGGGCCCGTGTGGCAATAATACGCATGCGTTTTTCCATAACAACGTAATGCGTAATGCGTAAATCAAACGTTTAGCGTTTTAGAGTTTTTTACGTATAGCTCGAATTACCTGACCACATAACTCTTGTGCCATGGTTTGATTTTACATATAAAAATACGTAGGTATAATTTAGTTTTTCAGGTTTATTTATATATTCAGGGTGTATTTTCTAGGAATATCTAAATAAGTTTTATACGTAACATAGTAATAAAGTTGATATAAGCAATAATCAGCAATCGTAAAAAATAATCCAAATTTAAACTCAACCACTCAAATTTTATTTCCCAAATGCAAGTTCATATATAAAATAACTTATAATAATAGCCAATTTGACAAATTGTTGAAAAGTTATAAAACAATTTATATAACCATATTAACATTACGATTGTATGCCGCAGTCTATGGCTGCAGTGTTACTTTGGCAATATCACCATAGAATTTCATGTTAATTATAAATAATTACACCTACTTTTTAATTTGATAACATGCAAGTTTGAATATTCTTTTTTCATTGTCAATTTTCACAATTTAAATATAAAATATTAAGGCTATTTACGGTAAATGCAATGCTTAAAGTGTTCGGTAAATTATCACTAAATATATGGTATCACCATTCATACATTTTCACACTATAGCAGCAGAATACACAGTGCAAGCATGATGACGACGTGCCTGCGTGTACAAATTAACATTTCATTTCACTTATTATTACAACTTATAAATTTCATATAACATTCACATGTAAACTTAAATTGTTTACTTATTATTGAATTTAATTAAATAATAACTTCACCATGTGTTCACGTGTCTGCAGTCAACTATGTCACACGTTAGTGACATCACACCTAAGAACAATTGAGTTGTGGTACGGTGAGAACACTTCTAAAAACCGTCTAGAATTCTGAATTCCTGACCACAGAAAACATTATGGTGCTATTCTACATGCTTGCAATGTTCTAGAAAAACATTAAATAAGGGACATAAAAATAAGTACACATACGTTCCTGATATGTGTACACTAATCCACTTCCTCCTTACATATAACAACAGTTCATTGTGAATCCGATACCACTGGATGAATTATTCACCCACATTCCAATCATATCTTTAAAAAAATATCGCTCATTGATTAGCCCTTGGCATTTACATGAAATGTCAAACTAGTTCTGCGACATAAACTATAAAAACTATGACACTGGACAGCACGAGTCAAAGACTTCATCCCTCGAGTAGAAAATCTAGGATGAGCACAAGGACAGACATACGTAACGAAGGCGGCATCTGACACAGTACTATACTACTATTTAGATGTAATAACACCACTCTCTTGATTTATGCTGCATATCAACTTTTATACTGTTCAATAGCAATGGACAAAAGTCTAAAACATGCTTTTCAAAATTGCTCATGCTTGTTATAGCTGATAACACATTGCAATTGCACTGCCTATCATGACTATGGTACACATGTTGAACATAATTTTCATCTAGCCTTTGCATATTTTAGACAGGCAGCTTGCAACAAAAGTGACATCATATTAATCACCAACTACTATTTAACAGCGGCATTAATATATCGCATAAATAATGCATAGTTTAACTGAAATTAATTGTAAAAATTAAAAACACTGCAGTTTTATCATTATTAAACCTTGTAAGCACCAAGTGATCGAGCAGCATGCAAAGGTAACCTTCAAAGCATAACTAACGTTACCACCAACAGATACAGCACAGTCTCAGCAGCTGTTATTATCTATAGAATTATGTAACTGTTAATATCTATGTAGCATATTTAAACCCTGATTAACTGAATATAATGCTGCAACTTACTATGCTAGTGTTTTCCTCAACATAATCAGTTTTACATCTACATTAAAATTTAGCAAGTTCACATTAAGCTACGTGGAAGAATTCTACTAGTATACACACTAGATCTTTTCAAACAATTATAGTTCTCTGCATGATTTTTTCTTTACTTTTCAACTTCAAGAAACAACATTCTTCTTGATACTGGTTATAAAAATCATCTAAGTCATGACCATGAAAAATAAATTTCTATTCCAGGCCGTACAAGCTAGAAAACTATATCTGTAATGTGTAAACACCTGTGTGAGCAAGCAAGTACGCACTTCTGTCTGCAACCAATGGATATCACTGCCAACCACTTCACTTGCCGCTCGATAACTTTACGTTCGTTCCCATTATCACGTCTCGGCTGTTCCCCATGATGTACGCCCAAAAGCTGTCGTTGCCCTTATATCCTGAAACAATCAAAAGCTCGTTGACACTTAAAGAGATGTAACGTGAGAAAAAAACGATGTGAGACGTATATCCACACATAAACACGGAGATCGATCACAACCTCACCACTAGCCTCTTCAAAGAAAAGTAATTATTATAACTCAGAAAGAATCTTTTAATGGACACGCGTGCGAGAAAGACTATAGAGTAATCCGACGATCAACAAAAAACCAGTTACAATCTGTCACAGGTTACGAACAAGGTATCCGGACGTCAAAAATTGGCGTTTGTATGCTTCAGTATTAACGAGTTTGCCTTTTATAAATATTCTCATACATCTAAAAAAAATAACGTATCTATAGAGCTTTTACACTGTTTCATGTATTGACGTACGTATTTCTCACAAAAATGAGTTATGAGCTAACAGTTTCATACAACGGTCAGGAATGAATTAAAATCGCAAGTCATGGAACCGCTGTATATGAGTGTCAAATTCTGGAGGATATATCAGTATTGACAGTGAAATATCTTAGCAATGTTCTTATTTAACTAGTGATATATGTCCTATAGATAGTGGTAACAATGCATTTAACTCGAGAATTACTAGTTTCCATAACACCACCATAGTGTGTACATATTTGGCAACATTAGACTTTCGTGAATAAAGTAGCACCCAGAAAAGCTCTGAATAAAGATAAACAAGGTACACAGAATATAGTAGTTCTCTTGCTAAATGTCGTGAATAGTGATTAACGAATGCACAGCAAAAGCCACATATAGAAGAATTAATTTTACTAAGGCAGTATACTCAATTTTCTCATGTGCAAAGAATTCATGAATATCCTACCAAGGTACTTCCACAGAAACGCGACCGCCGATCTGTTGTTAATGTCCATGACGGCATCTGGATCCTTTGAACCATTTGCTTTCACCATCTTACCCATTACACCCCTAATCATCAGGGAGAAGTCTGACACACTCTGATGAACTGTTCCCCTGCAATCCAAACCAACCATCACTGACTTTATGTGGACAATGTACATCAGTGATATAGGAATTAACCATTCACGGCTATAAACATATGTACAGAACATTAAGTGACATATACATAAATGACAATATACGTTTTCTAAAACAGCTATTCAAAATTTGAATTATATCGTGCGTGCAGTACGCAATGCTGATATGGGACTGTTATGAAAAACTGCAGCAGTCAAAAATACGCTCCTACCATTTAGTAGCACTAGTAGAAATTTCACATCAAGTGTCATCTAACAACTAATTCCAGTGCTGATGAATGTCCTTTCTGTACAAATTTCATGGTACTACTACTATCAGGAGTAAGATAATATAGGATCTTACTTATCTATATTATCTTACTCCTGCTACTATTACTACTCGATCCTATAGCAACATCCATGGTTATACACATTCACATCTATTATTAACAGATTAATTATTACCTGAATTCATTAATATAGCAACGAATAATTAGCATGGAGATATAGAATATAACATGGTATAGATGCATAAAAATGGAATCATCAACATTTCTATTACACTGATCACATCTCTCCCGACATTAGGCCATTAAATAGATAGTGTATTTATGAGCATTTCTGTTGTATTAAGCAGAATTGTGGTGCCTAAGGAAATCCTACCTTATGGTGATCATCTTCCGGTCTTCGTTTCCCGTGTCCAACTTCAGTATCTTCAGCACATTCTCCTTCCACTGAAACTCCTCAGAGTTGATGAAAAGCAATGGCTGATCGACGTGTTCGTAACATTCTTCCGCAAGAGGGAACATCCACGCATCCAGTGCCACGCCAACCCTGCAGGTAATTTAGACTTACTTACTTATCCTCTTGGTCCCCCGGTGGGACATAAGGCCGTGGGCCATTTAGAGCAGAAGAGTAACAGTTGTTCAATTAAGAAATGTATATAGATAATAGTTGTGGACGTAACAATCCTACTAGTATCTGCGGTTGCATGAAGTGCATAAACTGAACATTGTTGATTGATGTGGTAATGAGCAATGCAATGAGGGGTCTTCAATTAGTTGGCATTAGACTCAAAAACAGATGCTAACTGTTTCTCAATGTATCCAGGTGTAATATATATGTGGATGGTTGAAATTTGGCTGAAAGATTTCTGGTAACATCTGGAACACAGAACTAACGTCATTTGCTCCTGGTTAATATGGTAATGTCGCGTTGTGTTCAAGGGAATTCACACTGTTAACATTTTATTACGCCAAAAATTGTATTACTCTACTGCTTTAGTGATGAATTTCTGATATCGTTTATATTGTGTGCTACACTAAAAATGTGATTTAAACTGTGCACGTGTCACATACTTGAAAAACATCAGGATAGATGTAGAACGAAAACTAGTGTTTTCTATGTATGCATGGGTTTATTCTACACACTGCACAGTTTTGTTCTATAAACTATACTCTATGCACGTTCTGTATTGAAAGGGAAACCACAAGATAGAAGTTATGACGTGAACTTACCTAAACCTTTTATCCTCAGCCATGGCTTTGATTATGGTAGCAGCACCAAACGAGTGACCCATGACGCCACAGCCCGATTGCATATCAAGTACATCCTTAAATGTTCAAATGAGTTTTCCGATAAAATACATGCACACCTATAAATTCCTGTCTTTCCCTTGCTTTTATTATTATTTCAATCTTACTTGCTCCCTTTCCTTTCATTCTCTCTTTCTCACACATTTTATACAGATATATATGCATAATGCATTCCTACATCTACATGTGATTTTGTGCATGGTATACTATTAATCACTCACCGCGAACTGTGCAGTGCTGAAGGATGGATCACACTGGTTTAGAATATGTCTCCCTAGGTTCAGGTCACGTAGCAAGTCATATGCCTTCTTAACTTCATTGGCCCTTATGATATTCTGCAGCAGATCATAAACATTTTCATAAGAACTTTGCATATATTAACCATATATGTATTTCACAAAAGTAAATACATGTTTAAGGTGAGTAAAGCCAAATAATATACAGAAATAAGGTGTTAGCGTGCAGCCGACCATGTACAAGCATTATGATTTATTTCACTATCACCTTTTTGTGAACTCTTGAATTCTTCAAGTTATTGTAAAACAGTATGAGCAGCATAATTTCAAAACGTTGGAACACAAGCCGTATTAAACTCCACGTTTCAGATACACATAGCAAACATTCGATACTGCAAAACAAAGAATTAGAGAGAACTTACTTGATCACTCCTAATTTCAAACTCGTCATCCTCTTTCGTTGGCCTATAGTAAGGCAACCACTCTTCCTCCATTACGAGCGGAGCTTCATCGTCGCTGTCGTCCACCTGACTCATGTTGTGCTTGTTGTAGAAATATGTTGCACCAGCAGACTGGTCTCTGAATAAAGATGAACATTCCTACCATCTATTACATATTTGCCTCGTGCAACTTGCCTGCAGGTTGATTACCAATTCACTAATTACTAATTGGCATGATAGCTCGGTTAATTATTATAAATACTTAGAAATAATAGTGGGGTTATTTGAATATAATGTGTATAATGTAACACAGACATATTTTGCTACTAAGGAGGACACAATGTTCTGCATCACAGTATTAATCCCACCTCCCCCGAGTGAGCTGGATACTCGTATACACATATGTAATTAAAAGGTTTATTTTCCAGCTTGCACCTGATCAGTGAGAATTTCTAAAGCATGTTTGATGCCCCAACTGAGCAATGACAGCGAAGACTGACCCACATTCTACTGGCTCAATCCTACACTAGAACCAGCTATACATACATCACCATCATTATATATCATCACCACAACTATAACCCAATCCTTAACCCTAATGCGACCCTAACCCTTATGTCAATGCTACAGTTAACCCAACCCTAACCCCAACCAGCCAATAACCCCAATTATAAACCCATAATTTATGCACGGGGTTTATAAAGTAAGATTTCACCTACGCTGCGTCGAGAATAGAAAGCTGACCGTGTGGGTCAACGACATCGAACAATAAGCCAGTCAAATATAGGCGTGGTGGCACGGGTATTCCATCCCACACACAGAAAGCTGCGTTTACACTACCGACTTTATGTTGGCGAATTGGCGAGTTGGACCAATATCGCAATTCGGCAACTCCGAGTTTGGCGAAAATAGAACATGTTCTAATCTCCCAACTAGTTGCTATCGATCGGTTGGTCGCGCAACTTTTGTGTTTACACTGCCGATTGTCGGTTGTATAATTGGGAAGTTGGTCCAATTCGCCAACTCAAAGTCGGTAGTGTAGACCCAGCTTAACGTAGAGCAGACATGGCTGCATACCTGTGTTCTAGAGCCGCGACCACGAAGCCGTGCGACGCGAGGTCCATGCACAGGTAGGAGTATGTCGTGCGATTGCCGCCGAGGCCGTGCGAGAAGATCACCACGGGAAACTTCCTGCCATCCTCCCTGAGGATCGGCGCCTGCCATACGACCGGCACCTTCAGTTCTCCTGGCCATGTAGGTAAAAAGCAAGAAAGACGCGAAGATGCAAATATGAGATTTGGTGGTCGATCGATTACACAGGTTGATGTTAAGCTTTTGACGAGACTCAAGATCAGGAGTGTTTAGCACAGCGACTAACTTACAGACATTTTGCGAATGTAAGACAGGAGAAATTTCACTGCAATATTGTTAAAAAGTGAATAAAGTGCAGAGTATACAGTTGTAATAGACATGCAATCAGGAGTTAATGAGACAAACTCATCAACTCGTCAACTTTGTCTCTTTGTCAACTTCGTCAACTTTGTCTCAAACTTTGTCTCATTAACTCCTGATGCAATGTTAGTGAGCACACAAGCAGTTTAATATTTATTCATGTCCTAATAAAAAAATAGGTTTTTGTGAAGCCCTTCATATCATATACAATACAATGTGTGCATGAATGCGTGTACCTGCGTTTGTGTGCGTGTATGCTTGTGTGGATGTGTAGATATAGACACAAATGAATAGAAAAATAGACATGATGGTAAACACCTGCTATGTCTTCAGTAAAGATAAGCAAAACACAGAAGTGATTTAATTAGCTGATTAATTAGAATAAGTAATAAAGACATAAAATTAGATATCACATTTCTATAAGGAAAACGAGCACACATAGCACATAAAATAGTGTTGGAACATGACACATCGTTCTCAGACATTCATGTGAATATAACTCTTGCATGCAAAAGTTTACATTACCATAACCTAGCATATATACTCAGTCCATAATTTAAATTAAATAATATCTGCAACACTACCTATATACATGCTCCCACAATACAATGTACACTGCTTACAGTGGCAATTGTTGCACACAAAAGATACATATGCTTCAGCGTATGGAAAGCCAGCAATACGGCAAAGCGTTGCATTAGATTGACAGCCCCACTTCCTCTGTATGTGGGGGCGCCACTTGTAAATGTCACTAGAGCCTTGTCTTACTAGGCATGTTATCGATGAGCTTTCCATAGACGATGCAGGCCGTGTAACCATGCAGGTACTCTACGCGTGGAATCCATCGAGGCCACAGATTCGATTTTTCCTATGTGAGCAAACACAAACAAAGAACTGCTAAATAACAATCCCAACAGACTCGATTGCTTAGATAAAGCTAATCACATTTCATTGGAAAGACTTAAAGCAGAATTATGCACGTGGGACCTCTCGTGTATGTCAAACACGCACCAAGTGAATGGATTTTTATAAAGCATCTTGTCAACCCCTCACATGCCATACCGTGTGAAATATTAATAAAAAATAAAACGTGCAAAACTTGGTTTATCTTGCCAATGCTTATTGACCTTTCCATGCTATTGTGACCGATAGCAAGAGAAATTGTAGTTGCATGAGAGAATGCAATCAAGAATGACATTTCCACAAGAACTTTCTGATACTAGAACTCGAACACCCTACAGTCATTATACCACGCAATTATTGCCCTAAACATTGGGCGATCACAGATGGTTGTACATGGCCATAATGTTCTCGTGCGACGGCAATGCCTAGCAACTCTGAACGTCAATAAGCATTGCAAATATAGAAAGTAAATAGAAGAATACTTGTTGAACGTGACCGATTTGGCTAATCACATACTACTCACAACTTATGCATTACATACGCCCAGCAGGCTATCCAAGTGACTAACCTACAGAATATTTGTTCATGTTTGAGACTACAGCAGCCAGAAGAACCTATTATTCAATCAGGAACACCCTAAAGTGCACTCTACAGCTAGCTTTATGCATGTAAAATCTTCATTTTTCCACATTACAAGGAGGTTGCAGAGAGGGAATGTTGCACTTCTGTCGCATGCACTTCATCACAATGGTAAGTGGCAAGTCGGATGCCCAATGCAATACGAAAGAACCTCCTACACGAATAAACGCAATGCCATCTACTCGCACCTTCATGCTACCCTTAGCAATGGGATAGTAGAGTCTCATGAAAACCCCGATACGGGAACTGTCACACATGAGGTCAGCCACTCCCACGTGCTCCCATCCGGATGGGTACGGGATGTGCTTGTTCTTTTTGAAAGGACTCAGCATCTTGTCATCTGGTGGCTATGTGAACCGTCTCACCTCACCTGCTGCACAAACAAATCAATGGGCTGTCAAGCATTACAAGTGCATTTAGGGGTTCCGTTTGCTTCAACTAGAGGTTGATGAGTGGCCGTAGTGCTGCCATGTGTACGGTACGAGTGGAACTAGTGAGAGACATCACACCATTGTAGGTAGAATAGTGCCTGCTTGCCTATCACCGAGCATTTTATTCGTATAAAAAATTACTTACAAATAAGCAGCCGTGAAAGTAGCAACTATCTAAATGCTGTCTGCCAGAGGTAGCAACACGTAGCTAAGGGTTGATATTTTGTATTTTGGGATGGTATTAAATCATCCGAAAAATAAGTATGATAAGTTAACATGCTAATGATCACTATATTATTGTTTAACATGGGGTGAAACACAGCCTAATAGCCGAATAATAAGAGAATCATGCTTTGTGTTACCTACTGATAAAGTGTGCCTACGGTCTTACATCTGTTACATTTGTTTTAAAAAAAAACACCATTACTGACAAGCACTTTCTAAAAAGTTCCACTTAAATTATATTCAAAGAAAAAGACTACAGCCTATAATGCCCTAGTTTTTACTGTAATGCTGTGTTTTCATATATGAATACCACTCACCCTCAGCACTGATAAGAGCTGTATCCAACAACGCCGGTTAGTGATCGTCACACTAGGCTGTTGAGATTATTCAAACAGCAACGACCTTAATGGTGAATTTCTCAGGCGATGTCGATGGCAAATCTGAACACCACCAACTCCACACACCAGCCACTTGATATCTGCTATTATGAACAGTATTTATGAATAACGAACACTCGTCGAACAACCTTGCTTTTTAGTCTTCGCTTCAACTCTGGGTAGAAATAATTTGCAAACAGCCTGTTGCCGGTCCACGCCGAATTCTCTGCATATACAACCAATGAGGTCAGGCGTGGAAGTTGCCTATACTATGCGAGTGTCCCGGACTTTGGTCGCGCTTGGCAAATATTGACCTGCAACTGTAGTTAGACCATAGCAGTCCTATGTTGACAAACCACTAGCTACACCAGTCTAGAGAGGTGTGATCACCTTTAGCAGTATTTGCATAAAACTCAGTGTGCTTGCTCCTAAAATAGCTACGGTCCAGGAGGTTTGAAAATATAGCTTCACTAGCTAAAAATCTGCAGTACACATTTTAATAAGAGCTGATGTGTTCTAACCAATCAATATTTCATACTGGTTAGTTAGTTAGTGCAAGATGGAACACGCACAGTTACATCACAGTGGGAATCGGGTAGACAGTCTTAAAAAAACGTCCCATCTTTCATGGCCCAGTCATGACATCGAGGGCACCAACAATGTGGTCTCCCTTTGAAGCGGCAAATGTTTTGGCATGTGTGGATCCTCTTGGTTGAATAGTACTCAAGAAGTATAAAGCTGAAAATCAAAAGAGGTCACGTGTCACTCATATACGGCAGAGGCATTTACCAAATGAATGCTTATAGAATAAGGATTTGATCCTCAGATAGGTGGATTTATGGACCAATCAATATCCTAGATCTGAGGCCAATTTTTTCGCGCTCGACAGTTACACCGCGTAACGCGAGTATGTCGAGCCCGGACCAGTCTACGTATTTTATTGGCAGTTGCTGTGCACTGATTGTTTTATTTCGCATTGTTCGCTTGATTGTTCGCTTGGATGCATTGTTTTTTTTTCAGTGTACTAAAGCAGCTCGCAGCTCGCAAATACAGCATTTCTGGAACCGAGAAACAGCGTGTGAACGCTCGGTCGGCGTATTTGTCTCAGATTTGGTATCTCGCAAATACCGAATTTCATAATACGAGATCGCATGTGAACGACAGCTAATAATGTATTGCCTACACAAGGGTAGAAATTAACTTTTGAACATGGAGTCCCACGCGAATTCCTTAACCTGAAAAAGAACAAGTCCGCTGCAAAATGAGGAAGGCCGCAGTCCGAGTTCAAAATTAAAGATATTCAACAATAACGCATGTGATTATTTTTAAGATTCATGCAGTTGCACGTCTGCCAAATTTTCTTTGGACATTACCTAAAAAAATGCGCTCATTCCGCGAGGCGTGCTCGGAACGAACTAGTTTATATGGCAGAATTTTCAGGGAGTCACACAGACTCCTGCATATGTCAAATCAGGAGATCCGACTTGACTCCTCGCACCCTGCCTACAGATTTAGATAATGTACATGATACAATTTTGTATAAACAAGTGCCGCGAAGCGACAGCGCTCATCTCTAACGTCTATTGCGTGACTCTGTGGTGGAGTGGTGGGATTCTAGTAAACCCTGTTAGTCCAAATGTGTTCACATACACGCCGAAACAGTGGAATGCACAGGGATGGTATCAGGACCTTCTCAAAGGAATGTTCGTTGGGATCGTTATGAAAGTTGCCACGAGATGGCGCGTACGTTTAACTTAAGTGTCTTCAGATTAAAGATGGAAGCTCTGATCGTACGTAGTAGCAATAGTAGCAACAACTATTTGCAAGACAGAATAGGTAAGCACTCATCCATTTTACCTACGCAAGCCTACAGACTGCAATAGAGAGCTGCCACGTGTAACCAATTAATGCAGGCAAAAACTGCTCCAACACATGCACTGGCAGCAGCCACTGCAGTGGCATACGTTACATGTAAACATACTGACAGTACAGAATGCCATAGAAATTATACGATTTAAGGAACATACACCTTCTTTAACCAAATTTAGCTTTTGAAATTTCATGTGACATTGTAGCCTCATACATCCAGGCATGTATAGATTCTACTAGCAAACCCGGCAGTCAAATTTTTCTAACAGACAGTTAACAATCCAAGTTTAACCCTCTCTTGAGGGTCAAAAGGTTATCTGACACTTACTCTTCGCATGTCAGCAGAAGAT